GTTCCACAACAAGGCACTTCGCCTTAGTATGATAGGGGCAGAGTTAATTCCTCTCTACAGAAGTTATTCACTTACTTAAAAAGAACTGGCATGTGTAAGATCCAACAGTTCTCTGTCTGATAGTGTTATGAATATTGTGCGTAAATGTTTTACGTAACACGTAAAACATTTCCACATTGGGGTGGTTTTCAAGCTGTTCTGTTAGCTGAGGGACTAAAATTCAAACAGGTGAGAGATGCTTTCATTCAGCTATTGCATACAAGAGTTCCAGACCATTGGCAGTGATGTGATACTTGTGCCAAAGTACTACATCTTGCTACATTTGACCAAAATCTGAGGAACTCGGGCCAACATTGCGCCAAAACTTCATTTTAACAACTCTCAATTTGGCCGGAACGATAGGATTGTGAGAGTTTGCAGATCTTTAGAATATTACGTCATATAACATACTAACTCTGTCTGATTTCGCATCAAACGCAGACATTACTCGTGTAAGCGAGTGCCATTGTGTTTTGCCTTTTTTCTTCTATTTTGCCGGGCGCATCCCTGAAGTCGCCTACGAAGCTCAGAGGGCACGAATGTTGTGTTCTTAAAGGCTTGTGTTAACACCGACTCCTCGGCATCAGGGGTCTCAAACGTGGATTCCAGCGCCATGAAGATACAACTGGTTGGCGTCGGACCGGATGCGGCATCTGCCAGCCAGGCGAGACCAAGCACTGCGAGAGAACTATACAGCGGTCTACCTGTGGGACTCTGAGCAAGAGCATTGTGCGATGGTGGTATGCAACCACCATAGTTCCCAAATTTGTAAATTTGGGAACTATGGCCTAAATTTGTACTTTCGACTACTATATTAAACCCAGTGTTTTTTTTAATTGCCAAAAGCCTAGTTGTCAAGACCTCATTTATTTTCTAGAATATATTTTATTTGAGACTATTTCTAACACTCGGAAGTTCCGCAATAATTTTCGTGTTTGTTCTGGCGGGTTAGTTTCGCTGAGTGCGCTTCTCACCGCTCACTGGTGTACTGCAGAGAAGCGACAACCGCAGTGTCGCTTGCTTCGCTGCAGCGCACCTGTGTGCTAAGGGGAAAGCATACCTCCAGAGCTAGACTGGACGATTTTTGAATAAAATTCGGCTTGTATGTATGATAGACTGAGTGCAGTATCGTGGAGGTATCTTTTTCTAATTCTAGATTTAGCAAGGATACTTCAGTATTGCAAATATATTTATGTGGACTCTTCTTTACGTTAATGTTTTATGCCAACTTTTTTGTTTAGTGGTCACTCTTATCTAGGTGTGAGTGAATTAGCAGCTAAATTACCAGAAGTAGAGAATGCAAGCTTGAGAAGAACCTTAACAAGTTCGGTGGAGTTGTTTATAAGAAGGCATATTTATCATTTACAGGCCAATTTTAGGGGCGAAGCTCCTTAGGGTCTAGCCATGTCCGGCATCCGTGCTCACATCGATTGCCATCCCATCTGTCTTCTTAAAACAAAGAAAAAATGTTTGTGCAGTCAACAGCATTCAAACCTGTGCGGGGAGACCCCAATGGATTTCTAGTCCATCGCCTTAACCACTCGGCCACGACTGCGGGACGAGTAGGTGCTCTGAGGTGTGGTAGTAACTCGAGAGCTGAGGATGACATGGACGAAACGTTGCAGGTAGCCGCTCAACGTCTATACAGGAGAGGGCGCTGCGGTCAAATGCATATATAATTGCGTTAAACTTTGCATGCATTGGCTCAACGTTTATAGACGAGAGGGCGGCTGTCAAATGCGTATATAACCACGTTCCATGCCACACATTCCATACCAACGCAACCCAGAGCTCAGCACTACCTATGAGCAATAAAAAAAAAAATCAGCACCATCAGCACTACCTATGAACAAGATCAGTATCATCAGCACCACCGAGAGCTTCGCCCCAATCAACATCATTCACCATGTGGAGATGCAGTCATTTTTTTGTTTTTTTGTTGTGAAGTTCTAGGTACAAAATATAATTGATGTTTCATAATCAAATGATGAGTGCTTTTTTTTCTGTATTCAGAACTGCAGTTTTATTACAACCTCTACAACTTGAAGGAAACAAATTTAGGCACTCAAAATTATTGTATTTTAGCATTATTTCACTGGGATTCCATACCTAAATTTACAATTCACCACAATTCATGCTGTCCTTCATCTGTCATCTTCTTGTCACCGTGTCTGGTGCGTCTGCGTGCAAGTAAACTGCTAGTTTTGTGCTTGAGGAAATCAATCCTGCTGTGCAATCGATGATAACAAAAGGTTGCACATAAGTGAGAAGGCAAAGTAGACTCTGCCTAGTTGGACAGGTCAACACATGAATCTTAATGTAATATTTGCAGTGCTATGAATGAAAATGGAATGTGCGCTTGTGCTCCAAAAGTTCTTTTGGCTGCTCCAAGAGCTGCTCCAAAACGACTGAGCGATCACGTCACTGCATTGGTTATCAGTATCAAACATTGGGTCAGCTCCAAACTCTGTCTTTGCATATGGTTATATTGACAATGTTCCTCCTGATTTTGTCAAGCAACTGTGCAGCATTCTGAGGTTACAATTGGCCACTATAAATGTTTTTATAAAACCTGCACAAAGTCGAGGCCAAGTCAAAGTCAAATTTGGGGGTTTTATGTGCTAAACCAAAGACGGGCATCTGGCACACCCCAGCAGACTGAGGATTAATTTGGACCACCTGGGGATCTTTCGACGTGCAACCGAAAGCTCGGTTACACGGCGCCTCCTCTGCAATAAGCCTCCGTCAGATTGTGGGCAGCTCGGCCGGGATTTGAACCCGCCACATGGGGATCCGTAGGCCAGCGGTCTCGCCTTAGAGCCACCGAGGTGGCTTACAAAGTCAAGGCGGCACTCTGGATTGTGGCTTATTCACAATAGCTAACATGCAATACATAGCATCCGGCAAAGACCTTACCTCTGTAAGCTTCTGACAACAGTCAATGAGGACCCATTTACTAAACTGCATTCTAAAGGGAATGACAAAAGACTTTCCCATAATAAATTTTATTGTTTCTCAAGTGCGACCAAAAGACTTCGCTTACGCTGTTCATTGCTTGTGCAGGCAGCCTCTGCTTTGTGCCGGTGCTGTTGGCATTATTCAATGTGCAGGTTGTCCATCCCTCTTTCACGAGGACTGTCTAGGCAGAAAACCTAATTGTGGCATACAGTTTGCATGCAGTCGAGGGTGTATTGTCACTGGAATGCAGAAGGATAGGCAGAGGTTATCCTAAATGACTGTTTCAAGACCTTGAACTTTATTTACCATACCCGCCAAGTTCGGAAACACTAAATCCGGGAGAATTTCTAAGCGGGGGGGGGGGGGGGGGGGGGGTAGATGTTTTTTAAATTTTTAAAGATTGATAACAAATATAAATGAAGACAACTTCATTATATTTATATTGCACTGCTCATGCTAGTGAAAAACTGCTGCGCCTCGCTATCATAGCAGCCATTTGTTACGACGGCAAAAACCACTTATTTAAGTGCGAGGAGGGAAGGGGGGGGGGGGTTTGAGTTTTTTGGGAGATTTTTCTGGCAATTGTACAAATTGGTCAAAATTCGGGAGTCTCCCGGGTAATACGGGTAACTTGGCAGGTATGATTTACCCTTGTTATGTTTATTCTTGTTATTCTTTACCTTTGTTATGTTTCCACCTGCATATTTCTTACTTTTCATTATTAGAGTTTGATATGACAAAAACTGACTGATATATTTGAAAAGGCATGTGACCCTGTAATTAGTTGCAAGTTATTATTACAATTGTGTTCAAACACTCATCATGGCCAACAATTTCAATAACAATTGTTGTAAAAAAAAAAAACTTGCTCTCGAGACTAATAGATAGATAATAACAGCTATACCCTTTATAATGGGTGGCAGCTTCCACCACCTAGCCTAAAACATTAACAGAAACGTCATCCACTGCCTCCTCCCCCCGGCGAGGGAGTCGCCAATTTTCCTCTGGTCAAACCTTGTCAGCATCAGCAGATTCCTCACGACACCGCAGTAAATGTTGGGGCTTAAGTTTAATGAAATAATTCGCAACTGGTTATGAGGTCACACCTCATCATCTGCAACAGAGTGCCCTCTCCATTTCAAATACCATCTTTTTTCCCTTATATTTAGCATAAAAAAGTACTATGTACAGCTGCTGATTCCTATGGGGGGCAAGACAAGAACAGCTTAGTGATTTGAATTTTTATGCTTTGGTGCATGGTGCTTTTAATCTTTTTCTTTTCTTTAATTTAGGTCTTTTGGAGGAGCCCGACTGCTAGAGAGCGTGCTCCAAGGTGGTGGATAGAGAAACGGCTTCTGTCAGGAAGTTGTGAAAACAACTTCCAACTACAAGATAAGCATTCATGCCCACGGACCAACAAGCTTCTTTTTTTTTTTTGTTGTTGTTGTTGTTAATGTTCCTTTTTCTTTTTAGTTTGCATTTAGTTCATTTCTTTTTTTGTGCTTGTGGTAGGTCTTATTTTGTTGAAATAAACTTTTTGCATCCGTTTCATTCATGCTATTCTTGTTGCAAAAACACTGGCAGCAACATTCGTTCAAGATAATGCTGCAGAACAGGTTACATTGAAGCAAAGCAAATGTGTCAAAGGGACTGACAATTGAAACAGTTAGCAAATTAAACTTCATACTTCTTGGAAGGCTCGCTGATGTGACTGCTGCACCAAAGGCCCCAGCCTGCTATATGCTGCTAAAATTAACCAAAATACTATGATGAATTTGTGCCAACGCTGCACGAAAAGCTAGACTTTTGCTCGCTATTTAATAGCCCCTTCCCCTGGCAAATAGCGAGCGCTCGGCGGGCGCTCGCCGAGCGGATTCTTGTTTCCCTCGCGAGATGCGAGCAATCTCTCCGTGTGCCGCTTGTAGATCTGGAGCCAGTGGGGCGCTCGCCGAGCGGCTCCAACCGCTCCGTGGGAAAGTGGCGGAGCGCGTCGAGCGGTCCGGAGTAGTTCTCCGCGCAGGCTTTTTCGGAGGAGTACGATCTGTAGTCGCAACATTTCAGTTTCGATTTCAACGTTCTGGCGACCGGCGAGGGAGTGAGGGATTTTCGCGGCTTTTTGGTTTCGTTTGCTGGGTAGGCTCTCTTCTTGTGCTCGCTTTCGTTCCTCGATCTCGTCATGACCGACTCGACCGAGAGTACTGCGGCTTTGGCGTCGTTGCAGTTAATTTTAGGTCTATTAGAAAGCAGTGACAGCAGTGACAGCGAAAGCAGCGACAGCGACGAAGACGACGGAGATACAAGCTCCTCCAGCTCGAGTGACGACGAGGCAGCCGTTCTCGGCGAAGTGTTCGCCGAGACGTTCGCCTTGCCAGCGAAGAGGCCCAAGATAACCCGTTATGTCGAAGACGTTGTGCGCGCCTATTCGGATGAAGAGGTATGTCGTTTCTTCGTTGTGTGGTCTCTGTGAACCGACCATGAATAGGAGGTAAAAGCGCTAAAAAACGACGGACAAGTTGAAGAATGACGAACACCACAGAGCGCTAACTTGCAACTGAAGTTTATTACTGAAAAACACGTACACATATATACACCGTGACATCAAAAAGACAAGTGGCAATAATGCCGCTTCATCTATCTAAGGTTAATCTATGAATTGTTTACTCTTTCGAATGATTTCAAATATGCCACCTCAGAGCTATACAGGTTTACTGAGGGAGCGCTGACACACTTGCCCTGATCGTACTTCAAAATAAAAAACGCCTCCGATATCTCTCTCGTTTTTTTGTCTCTATTCCGAGTTAAGATAACGGTGTTGTCAAGCCGTGGGACACACCCACATCTGTTACAGTGTACAGCCAGATTGCCCGAGGGTGATGATCTAACTGACAGGGCATGTTCCCTGAGTCTGTCGTTTATGCACCGACCCGATTGCCCGATGTACACCTTTTACCTAATCGGGCAATCGGGTCGGTGCATAAACGACAGACTCAGGGAACATGCCCTGTCAGTTAGATCATCACCCTCGGGCAATCTGGCTGTACACTGTAACAGATGTGGGTGTGTCCCACGGCTTGACAACACCGTTATCTTAACTCGGAATAGAGACAAAAAAACGAGAGAGATATCGGAGGCGTTTTTTATTTTGAAGTACGATCAGGGCAAGTGTGTCAGCGCTCCCTCAGTAAACCTGTATAGCTCTGAGGTGGCATATTTGAAATCATTCGAAAGAGTAAACAATTCATAGATTAACCTTAGATAGATGAAGCGGCATTATTGCCACTTGTCTTTTTGATGTCACGGTGTATATATGTGTACGTGTTTTTCAGTAATAAACTTCAGTTGCAAGTTAGCGCTCTGTGGTGTTCGTCATTCTTCAACTTGTCCGTCGTTTTTTAGCGCTTTTACCTCCTATTCATGAATAACCAACTAGCCCAAGTACACACCCTTCTACAGAACCGACCATCTCCCTGTGTTGCAGTTCCGACGCAACTTTCGCCTCCAACGGGAGCCCGCCTACGCCGTGATCGAGAGGTACGAGCGGTCTGTATATTACAGGGGATCGATTCACGGAGGGTCCAACCCGAAAACCGCCGAAGTTTGCATCCTCTCTTTTCTCTGGTAAGACATGTTTTGTAGGTCTCAATGTAGCTAGGAGAAAGATTGACCGATTTGACCAACGATTTCCGATCCAGCCCATATTCCCCATACATATACTGGCACGGTAGTTGTACTGTAGATATGCCGCGGCGGTCACAAAATAGAAGCACGAAAAAATACAAAAGAAATGGAGACCCACTAAAAGCCGATAACTATATATGTATTAATTGAGCATATTAAATTGACTTTGGTAATTAAAAGTCAAATCATTGCGTCTTTTTATTAATGCGGTTTATTATTATCTTTTTTTGCTAACATCAATTACTTCAATATCTAAGGAAAAAACAACTTTGAGACATAGGGACAAAAATTGGAACAACACAATACTCTCAAAACTCAGCCGACTCAGCTGCAAAATGTATTATCACGCGTCTTCTTTCTAGGAGGACACAACTCCCCAAACAACGCTAATGCCAACAACCGTGGGGGGTTAACGGTTAGTTGGCATTACCGTTGTTTGAGGAGTTGTGACCTATAAAGGAAATGTGTGGAAATAAACGTTGTAGCTGACTTTTTAAACAGTAGAGAAGAAACATCAAAACGTAGAAGAGACAGAAAAAAAGACAGGATGATGTGTCAAATTCCGCTAATTCGTCTATTTAGTCCAGCTCTCAATCTCAAGGTCACCACCAACACAAAGGGACAAAGACTATACAGGTCAAGCGCCTAGTCTACATCACACAATGTAAGAATGTGGACAACCTCACAGGTTGACGCAATAAGGCAACATCCATCCTTGAACTTCAACTTCAACAATAAAATCTTTCTCCGCGCTATTGCGCTTTATAATATCAATATAGTTAAACCAACTAGCCCACCTTAATATTTTAGTATATTGTCTCTGCATCATAACAAATTATAATTAACGTCTGCGATTTAACTCAAAGAAACTCTATTTACGCTGCAGGTATGCTGGCAACAAAACCTGCATTCGAGATGTTGCAGGCCGCTTTGACATGGGGGAAAGCACCCTTTCCCGCATCCTGAATCGTGTGGCTGAGTTCCTGTGCAGCATTGCTCCAGATGAGATCCGCTTTCCTGACGATGTGGCAGCCCTTGCCAAGGATTTTGAGGAGGTTTGTTTTGTGAGCTTGCTTATTTACGTATCCTGCTGCTTCAATATTATTGGGACAATTTCGATCAGGAGCGGGGCAAAAAAGAAAGAGATAATATCATACAAACAAATGATTGAACAAAATCAGAACAAGTTCAAAACAAGATCAAATAGACAAGAGCAATGAAAGGCAGTCAGAAATTGCTTGAAATAGGCCATGCATGCAATGATACTAGGTTGGGAACATAATTAGTTTACACAAACTTAATGGCATTAGTGTGACCCAAGTATACTCACATGAAATGCCACTGACGAGGCGCTTCATTTTGGTATAAGTTAATTCAGGGACAAAAGCAAACTATTCATTTCAATCTGTGTTTTGCAGAACTGGATGACACAGTCACGTCGATTTCGGTGTTGTAGGACCGTAAGCACTCGATTTGTGCTTATGGCAATTATTGCCTGGGCAAATATTTGGGTAGTGATTCGTGAAAGTACAATCACTACTTGTACAAGAATAGGCAAACTTCAACCATGTCTGGAGCTCAGTATGCACCTTGTGCTTTGCCAACCCTAAAGCATGGCAATGATAAACATTGATAACATATAATCTGAACCAAATCATATGAGGCCACTTGTTCTGGCAGTAAGTTGGGGGGGTGATCATTGCCTGTCTAAACTTTTCGTGCAACTGTCTATGAAGAGCAAAGCTAATGCATAAATTATAAGTAATGGATGTCAAGGGGGATGCTTTATGGCAAGTTCAGACCAGAATTAAAGGTTGAAAGTTGGTTAAAAAAATGTTTTACTGGCGACCAATGAAGCATACGACATATGGCTGCATGCAAGGAACTCCCCGAGGTGTTTGTAGATTATGTGTTCTAATAATTTGCATATAAGTGGAGTGTGATTTAAGAAGATGGGTCTGTAGCTTGACAATGCATTTTCTAAATTTATAGAATAGAAGGACTTTCGCAAGTTTCCATGAAGATGAAAAGGGAACTGCAGCAGTTGGTAGCAATTTCTTAAAAATAACCGCAAGGCAGTGTATTTCTGGCGGATGAAAATATTTGCATCGAGTCAGTTTTTTCAGGTTTCTAGAAACTGAAGCAACAGTACAGGTGATTACACACCTTGCATATATTACAGAAAATTACATTGTCAAAAAGACCCTTGACAGGTGTTGTATAACTGGTGTAGTGGTCTGCCTCAAAGTTTGAAATAAAAAGGCCACCTTTCATTTATTAATTTATTTCCTTTGATGGGCAGACTACATATAGCATCTCTCCTTTTAGAACTTGGTGGGAATGAGTACACAGCGCATAGTTTGAGCTCACATACCACATTCTTTTACTAGGTTTCAGGCTTTCCTGGGGTCGTGGGTTGCGTCGACGGCAGCTACATCGGCATCCGGTGCCCTGACAACAAGGTGAAGTCAACATATGTCAATCGACATGACAAGACTTCACTGACGTTGCAGGGCATCTGTGATCACAGACGCCGCTTTGTGGATGTTTTCACGGGCCCACCAAGCAAGATTCACGACTCAAGGATTTATAAATTATCGTTTGTGTCGCGGATCATCCCATTTCTATGCTGCATGGGCAAGTATCACCTTCTTGGCGATGCAGCATACCCGTTGAGGGAGACTTTGGTCACTCCTTTTCGGGATTATGGGACATTAACTAACCAGCAGAAGAGCTTCAACACTAAGTTGAGCTCCACAAGGGTGCTCATTGAGAATGCCTTCGGGCTACTCAAACAGCGCTTCAGGCAACTGATAAACCTGGAGTTCCCGACAGTGCGCCGAATGTCCACGTTTATCATTGCTTGTTGCGTCTTGCACAACTTGTGCATTGATGCTGGGGACACTGAAATCCGTGATGCTGAGGTGGAAGAGCTGAGGCGCCAGGAGTTGCTCAGGGTGGACAGCAGGGGCTCGCCCGAGGAGGACCTGCCGGGCGTCTCTCTCTCGGATGCCGCACTCAGGGTGCTCGGACGCATTAAAAGGGACAGGCTGGTCTCATCCCTTTTCCCCACTGGTTGAGCTCCTCGCGCAGGCATCAAGCGCTCAATGGCGCCCTGAGGCAGCTCCTGATAACCTAACTATGCAAGTGCCAGGCATTGGGGAAAAACGTTTACCGTGTTTTTTTCACCGACAAACTAACTCTGTGTTTCTCATCAATGCTCACTCTTCACGCAAATATGGTGCTGCGGTCCGGAAAAGTTGCCAAAGTTTCAGACTTTGCCGTCGCTATTAAAGTTATCAGCAGTTTTCTGAAATTTTCATTGAGAAAAAGGAGTATAAGGGGGAGGGGGGGTCGGTATGAGGCCCACGAATACATGGTAATAAGGGGTGTCGGCTACCTAAAGCAAACTCCATTTTCACATCTAAAATTAGCAAAAAAATGACATAACTTTAACAGATAACAGCAACCTCCGTTTCGACATCGAGCAGAGACCAATTGTTCGGTGACGCAGTTTATTTTTTGCGGTGAAAAGAACACTAAATATTTTTCCTTGGAAACAACTGTACATGGGTAACTTACTCTGTCATGAATGTTACCTTCTAATATCATTTAAGGCATGAAATTGTGTTGAAACCAAAACGTTTTTATTAATTGCTCAATCAACATGTATAATCTTGAGTATATATATAACAAATGATGCTCTGGAGTATGTAGAAAACTAGGGTATGTACAAAACGTGAATAATCAAGTGTAATGGGCTAGAGAAACATTTAGATAAAATTAATCACTTTGCAGTGTTCATGGTGTCCAGCACTCGCTCCAGCATGCCAAGAAGATTTTGGTGCCGCTCTTGACGCTGTTTTGCACGATCCTCTCTCTTCTTTTCCCGCTCTTCTCTACGCTGATCGCGCTCCACACGTCTTTCTTCGCGTCTTTCCTCCTTGCAGGCACGTGCTTCATCTTTTTTTTTTCTGAGATCCTCCATTTTTGAAAAAAAGTGTTCCATATGCCGCATGCGCTCAGGGTTCTGCCGTGGACAGGGTGGCTTTTTTAGGGTGGTACATTCTGCTGATGTTGATGGTCTAGGATTTTCTGTGGAGGAGGCTGGTGCATGTAGAGTCGTTTGTTTGTATACGGCCTGAGAAACGCCCATCATCACTTCCGGCTCCACACTGTCATCGGCTGCCCTGATGAGATTGAACTCTTCTTCAAACTCTATGTGTTGCCGTGTTGCTCCACTTTTTCCATTGCTGTCCACAACCTTGGTTTTTCTTTTCTTGAGGGTTTTGAAACGTGTGTCACATTGCTGTGCAGTGTAGTGGGAGTTCATCCTCTCATTTATCTCTTCAGCAATTTTAATAAACATGTGTTTTCTTGTCTTAAAACGTTTAAATGGTCCAATCTCTGGGAAATATCGAGAGTAGAGGGCAAGAAGAAGCTTGGATTCGCCTTCTGACCAGATGCAAGCTGAAAACAAAAACACAAAATTGTTGAATAACCTAATAAACTGGGCATTCTTTCGATGCAGCTTGAAGGTGCTGGGCTTATACGGCATATTTGTGGGGTTTCTTATGTAGTATGCAATTAAGGAATGTTTTAATGCTCTGCATGAATAGGGTACCTGGCAATGACGGTAAATGAAATAAGCTTGCAAGACCGTGACAGGTCCAAGCAGAAATTGAATACCAACTACGAGAAACTGTCGAGAATGTTTCAAGGGGCATAAATGGGATGCATGATGCCGAATTGCCAAGTAAAAATATCATGCTGACCAGCTTCACTACTGCACTGGCAAAATTGGCCCCATGTTGCAAAAGGTCATGGAACATTAACCATGCAGCCAATTTGTCACCACTCTGAGTAAAACTTACATCCTATAGCATTCACTGTTAGCATATACCTTCAGCCACGGAGAACTGACTTATGAAGCTTTGTAATCCAAGTGAAGGGTATACTTTGTATGGGTATATGTATGACTTACGTTGAGTACTGGAGTTCTGTGTGGAGTTCTGTGGCGTACCGTCGGATTCTTCTGGTACAGGCAGAACGCCAGCGTAGCTTCCACCATTGTGGTCATTTCCTGTTGAATCGTAGGGCGCACCATTGATTAATGTGGCATCAAAATAATTGCAAAAGGAAATGAACATTCCTGCAACCATTCACCATACAATTGTTTTTTTTTTTTTTTTTTTCTTTTTTTTTAAATACTGCAGCTTAGATATGTGGGCCAATTGTCATAGCAGCTATAGGTGTGGCTAGACAGAAACAAAATCGTTTTAGCACCATATGAAACCAAGCACAGCTCCTGACAGATTGAAGTATTCGCATTTACTTGTATAGGAAAAAAAGAATACGGGAAAGCATCATGCTCAAGTCTATTGGAAAACGCACGTAGTTCGTGTTTCCTTAATTTTGACCGCAAGTTAATTAGATCAAGACATCCGATGCACGGATGTTCTGTGACTTCATGTCGTAACTTGACGTCATTAGCAGACGAAAAGCATCATGCTCAAGTCTGTACTGGCGAAACCATAGTTCGTGTAGTTTTAACCGCGAGTTAATTACGTCACGACATCCGATACACGGATGTTTCTGTGACTGTCGTAACTCGACGCAGACATAAGCGCCCGTAACATATAACGCAACGTAAGAAAATAGTACTGCGTGAACGTACTTTAAGTGCAAATTCTACATCTGTTAGAACTGTTATATTTAGTTTACCTCCGCTGACCAATTATTTTGCAGTAGTTGATAAGCGAGCGGTCACATCGCAAATCATATACACAATAGTAACTGGAATAATTAGAAGACAACGCGCCAAATACTCCGGTGATGGAGATCGCCTTCGGAGCTGACGATCGCTTTACGGCATACGTGTTTGGTATTCTGCTTAATTGCATCCTACGGTTCGTACAAGTACTTCTAGTTGTCTTCATCGGGTTTATAAAACTGTAAGGAAAAATAAATTGCCTCTTACCGTCGGGGTCACCGTTGATCACATAATAAACAACCTGGGGTGCTTCCGATCCGGAGTTCATTCTCTCAGCAAGGTGGCAAAGGGAACCGAAACTGTTAAAAAGCGCGGGTAGACGCTCCGAAAGCGGTGGCGCTGGGAGCGTTACGCTCGATTTGCTCCGCAGCGCGTGCCACTGGGGTAGATCACGTGACCGATCGCTCGCGGAGGCCGACCGCTCGACGACCGCTAGGTCGGAGCGCTCGGCATTTGCCAGGGGAAGGGGCTATAAGATTTACTCTGAGCTTGGTACCTTGCTGGATCATTATGGTAGAGGATGGTGCCTGTTCTCAAAAATAGACTATTGATTGGACTAACACACTATTTGATTTTACTTTCGTATCGAACAGGGACAGTACACTTAATTTCCCTAATAGTCCTCGTTATTTTAAGTTTGTTGAGGTGGCCACACTATAGCTTTGGTGAGTGCACTTCTCGATAGGCTTTGGTGCACTGTGGAGAAGGCACTCGTACCGTAAACAGCAGTTTTGTCAGGTTTGCTTCCCTGCAACACACTTTCGTACTAGAGGAAGACTTACCTAATGAGCAGGGTATTAAGAAATTAAACATCTGGGATATGGTACATGTTGATCTGACAATAAAACCTTGCAGCAAAATTGCAAAAATTAACTGCAGCTATTATGTAGGTGTGCATGTGACAGCAAAACGGCGAAAAAGTATTCCGGAATGCAGATACTTATAGAAATACATTTGTTCCCGAATGGTGCTACGTGAGGAGCGTATAATTCGTGGTGAATATGAATGGTAATTTATGCTTGTGCTCCTCTTTTTGTGCAATTTTAAGCACTACCCCTTTGCTCAAACTCTTTATTTATCATTATGCCGCTAGAAAAACATGACACCCCCCTTGAACCACATAGTTATAGAATGGTAAAGACTGCGTATCATGCCTGACAAAATGCATCTGCCCAAAATGAACATTGTTTTGCCATGAGGGCGCAGAACCAGTGCAGCCGCCGCGTTGGGACTGGCGCTGTGATCAGCTTTTGGAGCAGAAGCACAGGGTGTCGTCTGCATCTGTTAGCTCTTGTTTCACCGCACCACGTTGTATGCTACATGTAATTATTCGCAGTTTGATAAGACCATTCGCATTTCCTTAGTTTTAATGTATAAAAACGAAGTCTTTTCTGTGGATGTTTCCTTACTCCAGTCTACTAAAAAGTTTTATGTATGAAATGTGTTTGTCCAGATTCCTTCACATTCATTTAGCAATAGCAGATTCAGGCCAAGTCTCTAGAATTTCGCATTTAGATGATAGACGCGCAGCATCAGGATGATTTCACGTCTGGAGTTACTGGCGGCCGTGCGCGGTCAGGAGCGGTCACTTCGAAGACGAAGGCCTGACGAGAGCGTTTTCGCCAAAACAGTTATCAACCGTCACTTTGGTGTCAAGTTGATGCATTTATTCTGATTCTCAAGAAAGATTGGCGTGGAACTAGCATGCCAATGCCAATTCTCTGTGTTTTTTTTCCCAGGCCCACTAGTGGGCGTCCACAAATACCAGCGGACAAAGCATGCAGTATTATGCTCAGCTATGGGGCATGCAAGTGCCCTTGTATTAAATCCCAGACCTCTGCAAGGTATCTGGATCGTCAGTCTGCATCCAAGAGCTACTCAAGGTGGGGCTATCAAGAGTGTGATACTTTTCCTGTGTCTTTTAAGAAGAATATGAACATAGCACCACGTAGCATTAAAAAGAAACAATTTACATGAGTCAATCATTCAGTGCTTGCCACAGGGAGCCGAACCTGTGCAAGCAGGTGCGTAAAACGCTCTCAGAATATCATAATTGAGCACATTCCTACCCTAGGTCAGGATCTTGATTCTGTGTCCACCATGGGTGCATTATTTTCTCAAGTGAAAGGAAATGTAACCTTTCACTGGGCGTTATTGTTAAGCATTGCAGACATTTGAGCAAGAGCTCCGAGAAATGGCACCACAAGCAGAGATGGGCGAGGAGTTTCATCTGCTCTTGTTGTCTGCTTCTGCACAGACGCTGAACTGACTCCGGAGCTGGTGCAAGCTTTTGAGGAACTGGGTCTGAACTCGTTTAAAACTGGGATGAATCGAACGCGCCAGTGCAGCGGCTGTGCAACTTTAGGGTGAATCGAATGTGCCAGTTCCTGCACTGCTGAACTAGTTCAGCCACTTCAGGCAAATCAAACAGACCTCTTACGATGTTGTACACCCTCACTATAATAGTATCCTTGAATGTCAGTAGCAGACTCATCAGGCAACCACCGAAACGGTACATTGTGTCAGATGCTGGGACGACCGGCGTGTCGCAGAAGAGCACGAGAACACGCATGCCAGTGAGCACAACAAAAATGTCTAAACCAAGGTCTGGAAACAAAAGGTAGCAACCTGAAATTACATTCTGTACCACCCATCTCGATGCATGGCACGCCTGTCAAGAAAGCCGGTTTGGGCGCGACGTCACATAGATAAGAAGTGCAAGACATCCTCGCATGGAGTTTTAAGCTAAGACACTGAAAAACTTGTCTAACTCAATGCATTTTTCATTAAAGGAATTTCTTGCTTTGAAACTCACATTGGCACATTTAAAATCTTATATTGTGACCCATACAAAAGTATTTAATATTACTGGTGCGACACTTTTTCTAAGCATCAGAGGTGTCGCAAGCCCTTGAGGCTTTCACCGGCTCGCTATTGTACTTTCAAAAATGTATTTTCTTCAAATAAAACTATGTTCTATGTTCTACAATGTTCTAAATGCTGTCCAGCTTCACCTCATTTATTCACGCAAGACAAGTAAAAAGCTTGAACAAACATTCACTATATCAAAGCAGAAAACATATGTAACTTCACATGTAAAAAAAAAACAAAAAAGTGTTTCCCCTGTGAATTGCAGTTTGATACTAATCAATGTTGCAGGCCTTATCAGCAAAAAGCGGCTAAAGTGCTTAGCGAAGAGAAAGAAAAAAGAAACTTTTTGTGTTGGGATTTGCCCTTACAAGGTGCTTCATTTGCATTGCATGTTCTAGTTAAGTGTCTGAGCATTACATGCCCCAGACACTAAAACGATAAATACCTCGTTGCCTGAAAAGCACGTTCTCGCTTCGATCCGCAATTACAGTTTTGCGAATTCGCCAAGCTTAGTAAATTCTAAATAGTTTTCTTCTGCACTTGAATGCTTTAGGGAAAAGGATGAGTTCGATTTATACAGTTAAATTTTTGTAGGGATCGTTGACTTTGCCAAGTGTTAGCTACAAAATAATGCATTCGCCAAAAAGCATAACATTTCAAATGTAACTATTTCGCGAATTGAAAACAGCAGCCCAGGTTCGACACATACGAGCGGTCAAAAATACACGGCATGAGAACGACGCAGCAACAGGCAACATCACAGGAATTTCGTAACAGCAGAGAAAAAAAAAATTAAATTACACCCATTCGCTCGGCACAACTATGATTTTATTATGTATGAAGCAACACAAGAGTTTCAACTCACCAACGCAGGTTCGATGTAACGTTCAGCGTGCTTGGGCCGCTGGGTAAGAGCAAGGAAGTTTTGTCTAGTAGAGTATAGTTATGACATTTATTTCATTCCTGATGCGCTTATCGATCTTTCAACGAACCAATTCGAATGTCACCATTGATAATGTTTGCAGAAAAGCCAAAAAAGCAAAATATCTCAAACCTCCTGCACCTTGTGTAGGGTGGCTAGCCACCATACCTTGCGCACAGGACTGGTGAGCGCCATGACACAACAGATCCGCAGAAATTGAAACACGTTTGAACGTAAACATAACAAATTTGTTTTGTATTTGCAAAGTTAATAGATCTTGTTTAATTAACAACATTATTTTTTAATTTTATTTTATATTTCTATAAGCATGCGGTAAGAAACAAAGATTGGAAAATCATTCTGTGCGGTGGTATCGTGGTATTCTCTATGCCGCGAAACACAAACAACATTTCGGTAGGGTGATGGCGGCCCGTTGTCTTTTTTGAGGATGTACTGGGTGTACGCCACTGCAGAAATTCAGTGGGTGCGATTTTCGGACGTTCGGAAACGGTGGTGGTGGTGGTGGTGGTGAGGGGGGAAGGGCGGGAGGGAAGGAGAGCAAGGGCACAAACAACGGGCCGGCATAACGACAA